GGGCCTACAGATGGGCTGCGTTACAATGGGCAATGAGGACCCATTTAGGTCGCAGACCTTCTCTTTAAGCCGAAAAATAAAATAAAAATTTATTAGTTCATTCTTAACGTGGAATCACCGCGGGTTAGATATAATTTTGACTCCAATAGCCGAATTTATTCATCTTCACTGTCGTTTTTGTTTGGGCAAATGATGCAATTTAATTGGGACGTGGCCAAATTTTCAACAAAATATTAATGTGACGGTGACAAGATACTAAGACGGTGGTTAAATGGATGCTGCATCATATGTGTAAAATATTCCAAAAGATTTGAAAAATCAAAAGATATAAGAAGGGTTAACACCACGAAAAACTCCAAATCGGTACACCGTGACAAGTTTACCCTCAAACTAACCCCAAACTAGTACACCTGTGACAATTTTATCTTATGTTAGTTTCCGTTAAATTTTACTGTCAAATTGCTAAATTGGATGACACGTGACAATTGACGGCTGTACCCGTTTGGGGTTTTACCCTCCGTTTGTCACAGGGGTACCGGTTTGTAGTTTTTCGTGGTATTAATCCAATTTAACGGAAGGTAAATTTGTCACAAATATACCAGTTTGGGGTTTTTGGTGGTCAAAAAATTAATTTATGGTAAATTTATCACAGGTGTACCGATTTTGGATTTTTCGTGATATTAATCCAAGATTGAAAACATAAGAAACGAATGGACAAGGGACGGCGCTCTTCTGCCACCTCCAAAGGAGGGTCGTCGATCCTCTCTAGCAGCATTAACTGTACAATGGGTCTTCAAAATTATTTACACCCTTAAACATTATCATAAGGACGACACACCTGTAATGAAATATCTAGTTTGAACCAAAAGAAAAAGACTTATAACGCACGCTACACGCTACGCCCACGTGATCAGTGGCTCTAGTAAAAATATGTACCTAATTGGTATGTCAGTGAAAAAAATAATAAAAAAACACAAAATAAGTACACAAACCGAAAGGTGGAAGTTAAGAATGAAGTAGAGCTTAGGGAAGCTACAAGAAAATTAAAAATATTCAATTTTGGGAGAGACCCCTCCTCAAATCTCTCACTTTAACAATAACTTGGGGGGTAAATTTAAAATTTAAAATTATCAACTTGGAGAAAGTCGTGTCCATCAAAAGCTACTTAATTATAGTAAATGAACATGCCTGGCGATGGTCCAACGCGTGAAATTTCCCAAAACTCACATATTATATCTATATAGTTTTTTTTTTGCCGATTTTGAGGATGCAAGTTGATTAGGGTACAAAAAAAATCAGGATAGTTTTTTTTTATAGTTCCCTAAAAGAAATGCCTGAATTATTGGACCGAGGATAGTGGTTTGTACAGTGCATCAAGGTCTACACAAGCTGACCTGGCTAGTGCTTGATACATAATTAAATTATTGGAGTCGACCGACATATTATAATGTTTAGGCACAATAACACGGTAATTATTGACACAAATAATTCCTGAACTTTGGTTCAATGTGAAGTGTGGTCCCTGAACTTTTAATTTGTTCAATGTAGTCCCTAAACTTTAACTTAATGTTCGGTTGTCCCTGAATTTTTAATTTGTTTAATATGGTCCTTGAATATTTAGAACATGTTCCATGTAGTCCCTGAACTATATGAAAATGTTCAATGTAGCAAAAGTTCAGAGATCACATTGCATATTGGGTTAAAGTTCAAGAACCATATTGAACAAATTAAAAGTTCAGGAACCATATTGCACATTGGGCCAAACTTCAGGAACTGTTTATGTCATTTTCCCTTAATTTAATGCGATAAGTATGGTACGATTATGATTGCCAAGGACCCCCTCATTTGTGACCAGATCTACTCCTGTGTCGTGGATTAAGCTTGCGTAATACGGATCAAACTGTTCAGTTTATATGCTCTTGAATCTTTTGAAGTTCATTGTTGACTTTTGAACATTTCAAAGCGATAATGCATAAGGTCTAACTTATAATAACCATCCTGATGTGTGAGTTAGAAGATAGAAAAGGAAATAAAAACCTCTCTTGACATGGTATTTAAGACCCAATGGTTGAGATTAGATGGGTTGTCGAACTAACTTGGATAAGGACGAGTTCGAACATCCAGCTTGTTGTATTGCACAGGCACCCCCGTAGCCTAAAATATATATCATAGTGTGCAAGTCGAGCCAAGCTGGCACTTGCCAAAGCCGAGAAGGGCTAGGTCTTTTAAAATGAGATAGTTGCCCAAATCATGCCTATTAGCCCTTCACGCATCTCGAGATTTGTACAGTGCATACAGATCTACACAAGTTGACCTGCGTAGGGCTTAATACATAATTAAATTATTGGAGTCGACCGACATATTATAATGTTTAGGCACAATAACACGGTAATTATTTACACAAGCAGTCCCTGAACTTTGGTTCAATGTGAAGTGTGATCCTTGAACTTTTAATTCATTCAATGTAGTCCCTAAACTTTAACTTAATGTTCGGTTGTCCCTGAATTTTTAATTTGTTCAATGTGGTCCTTGAACATTTAGAACATGTTCCATTTAGTCTCTAAACTATATGAAAATGTTCAATGTAGCAAAAGTTCAGGGATCACATTGTATATTGGGTTAAAGTTCAAGAACCACGTTGAACAAATTAAAAATTCATGGACCATATTGCACATTAGGCCAAAGTTTAGGAACTGTTTATGTCATTTTCCCTTAATTTAATGCGATAAGTATGGTACGATTACGATTTCCAAGGACACCCTCGTTTGTGACCAGATCTGCTCCTGTGTCGTGGATTAAGCTTGCGTAATACGTATCAAGCTGTTCGGTTTATATGCTCTTGAATCTTTTGAAGTTCATTGTTGACTTTTGAACATTTCAAAGCGATAATGCATAAGGTTTAACTTATAATAACCATCCTGATGTGTGAGTTAGAAGATAGAAAAGGAAATAAAAACCTCTCTTGACATGGTATTTAAGACCCAATGGTTGAGATTAGATGGATCGTCGAACGAACTTGGATAAGGACGAGTTCGAACATCGAGCTTGTTGTATTGCATAGGCATCCCCGTAGCCTAAAATATATATCATAGTGTGCAAGTCGAGCCAAGCCGGCACTTGCCAAAGCCAAGAAGGGCTAGGTCGTTTAGGGTGCGAATGGTAACCATTCTGCTCCAGAAATCAAATTCTTGCCAGAAATTGATTTCTGGAGGAGAAATCTGTTTGGTAAAACATGACTAATTCTGCTCCAGAAATTGATTTCTGCAACAGAAATCTGTTTTGATTTGTTGATTTTTTTTTGCACCTAAAAAAATTTAAATTTTACTCAAAGTGGGTGGCCACATGTATTATAAGCCATTCTGTAAAGTTTTGAAACTTTTGATTTTTTTTTATTTTTTTTGGGCACCTAAAAAAAATTTAAATTTCACTCAAAGTGGGTGGCCACAGGTATTCTAAGCCATTTTGTGAAGTTTTGAATTTTTTTTATTTTTTTGGGAACCTCAAAAAATTTAAATTTTACTCAAAGTGGGTGGCTACAAATATTCTAAGCCATTCTGTGAAGTTTTGAAATTTTTTATTTTTTTTTATTTTTTTGGGCACCTCAAAAAATTTAAATTTCACTCAAAGTGGGTGGCCACAGGTATTTTAAGACATTTTGTGAAGTTTTGAAAAAAAAAATTTCTTTTTTTTGGGCACATCAAAAAATTTAAATTTCACTCAAAGTAGGTGGCCACAGGTATTTTAAGCCATTTTGTGAAGTTTTGAAATTTTTGATTTTTTTTGGGCGCCTCAAAAAATTTAAATTTCACTCAAAGTGGGTGGCCACATGTATTTTAAGCTATTCTGCGAAGTTTTGAAATTTTTGATTTTTTTTATTTAAAAAAAAAATTCACCAAATTTCATATTTCCCCGAAATCTGACTTTTTTTTATTTTCTAGAAATTTTTATGAATTTTTCTAGAAATTTTCAATTTTTATGCATTTTTTGAAAAAAAATTGTGAGAAAATAGGGATAATGCATTTCGGAATCAAGAAGCTACAAAAAGTAGCTTCTCTTTTCTTGCCAAAAACTCATTCCGAATCAAAATGCATTACGGAATCGAATGCGATTCGGAATCAAGTATTTTTAACAAACGCATTTTTATTCCAGAATACAAAAATCGCTCCAGAATGCATTTCGGAAATTTTTTAACAAAGCCATTCTGTTGCATTCCGGAACAGAATTTTTATTCCGGAATGCATTCCATGCGCACCCTTAATATGAGATAGTTGCCCAAATCATGCCTATTACCCTATTAGTCTTTCACGCCTCTCGAGATTTAAAGGCCCAAGAAGCAAACCACACCCCACCCACCCCCCACACACACACACACACACACACACACACACACACACCCCAACAGGAGAGAAAAAGGCTCGATCAACTAAATGCTACAAATTGTATATTATAAATAGGCGAGTACGGTTAGATTGGATGTTGAGCCTAAAAAATTACTGTTCATACGCTTATATCAAACGTGTTTAACATGTATCTCGAAAATACTCGCTGAAGTATCCTTCGAAAAGTATGAAATTTTTTTTCATAAAATGATCGAAATGCTTCGCCCAACCTTATCCAGAGTGAACTTCTCTACTAGTTAGCTTTGATGGTTCGAACGGACCGTTAGTTGCGCTCAAAGCCTCCAGGAAGATGAACTTATACTAGGAACCACGTGAAAGTACTTCATGATTTCATCGACCGAAGTAATATAGCAACAAGCTGATCATTGTATTCGATTGATATAAAATTTTAACCGCTAATCACGATTAACTACGACCGTACATTGAGTCCAACACATCAATTCATCTAGAAACCCAATGGTCCCCGCCGGCGCAATTGCTTGCTCACGAGCACGCATGAGTCCAAGATTTACTTTAACTGATCTCGAGAAACGGAGAGGGGGGCGAGAGACAAGAACCAGAGAAATCACGACAAATGACAGCCCCTCCCCTGCTTTGCTTTGTGGGTCTGTGTCCGCTGTCTTTCTCTGTTTTCCTTGTCCGGCACTAACGAGATTACTCGAGTGAAAAGATTCCAGCTTTATTGGTTTTTTAACCCCAACGTACTTCGTATTCCCATGCCCCACAACCATCACCATTCCGAAAGACCTTCTAGACCCTTTTCCCTTTTTAAAAAAAGCTCCATCAATCCATCTCTCTCTCTCCCCTCCATTTCCTGTGCTGTTCTCCATCTTCTTCTTCTTCTTTCTCTGTCTCTACCCCCCTCTCTGTTTCTGAAATGGATGCGGCTTTCACTTGCCTGGGCATGAGGATCGACCCCAGGTGGATGACCCTCAAGTTCCTGAAGAACGCTCTGTTCCATGCCAAGATCATGCTGATCTCTTCCCTCGCCCATCTGGGCCTGATCAGATTTCGACAACGAGAGCACGAGGAGGAAGAACATGAACCGCACTCGCTGGACCTGTCCAACAACTCCGTCCTCGTGATGGACGGCTCGACGCCGGCCCTCGTCCCCGTCCACATCCTCGCGTCCCGGTTCAAGGACAAAGTGCCGGTCCTCGAGTTTGGGGAGCTCCTCGCCAAGAGCAGAGCATTGCCCGAAGGTGATGGAGAAGGAGGAGGGGGAGGCGATCAATGCCGAGAGAAGACGTGCGCGGTGTGCTTGAGCGGGGTCGAGGGGAAACACGAGGTGCGAGAGCTGCTCAACTGCAGCCACGTTTTCCACAGGGTGTGCTTGGACCGGTGGGTCGAGGAGAACCAGGTGACGTGCCCTCTCTGCCGGTGCTTGCTCTTCCCTGCAGCAACCCCGAGGCGAAGAATAACAGCAGAAGCTTGCGACTGAAGAAGAAGGAGATGGGATCGAGTTGACTCATTTATGAGAACTCGCTTGCTCCGATTAAGCATGTGGGGGGGGGGTTGGTTGAGGTTGTACATTAATTCACGGGGACGGGATTCCATTGGATTTAGGACAAGTACTTGCGGATTCACAGAAACCGCATGTAGTGTGAGCGAGAGGGTAGTTTTAACTGTGCATCAGTTATTGCAAGACAAGCTCGAAGCCCTCTTCGGAGTGATCTGTGTGGCTTGCAGATTTGTAATTTGAACTAATCAAATTTCTCTCTCTCTCTCTCTCTCTCTCTCTCTCTCTGCGCATTTCTGCAACTCCATCTCCTTCTTCTTGGATCTCTCTCTTTTTCTCCATGTCGATGCAAGGGCGCGGATACATCCTTGGGGGAAAGTGCTCATGGACGATTCAAAAGAAAGCCAAGAAAAGCAGTGGCTTTGTCAACGGCCACTAGGCAAGTGCTCTGGTGGTAACAGGCGGCGGGGTTGTGGGCGAACTCACTGGTCCACAGCCATTGACAAACCATTGACACAGTTCAAGTGATGGTAAAACTTATATGTCTGGCAAACTATATCAAGTGATGTAAACCAAAAATTTTATGAGGGGTGTAGCACAACGTCTAGAGATGATAACTGCGCTGATCATCGTTCTCCAACTTTCCCAAGAAACCCTCGTTGAGATTCTTTATTTATGTTGCACGAAGTTTATCTTATCGAGTCGCGTATCAAGATACGAAAAGTTTGAGCTTTGATGAACATGTAGTGTTGGTCCATTGCTTCAAAATTTCGATTTTTGGGAAAGAGCGGCTAATCTAACAAAGTATTGAAATGCAGCTGAGCAGCTTAGATCATGACACTCTCTTATATTCTCTGTTACTGTTTGGCATTGAACAACACATACTCGTGGACATGTTTGATTGTCTCCCGAGTTACCAAATTACTAGTCATGGCTCCTTGTCTTTCTTGATGGTGCATGCGTGTCCATTCCATGATGAAGGACTTGTTTATTCGAGAAGTCCGTGTGGTAAATTAGCAGAGCGCCCATACAACTTACATTGTTTAGCGACTATGTTGAAACTGATGCGTCTCAATCATTGGCATCATTCACTGAATTGAACTTCTAACCATCCTTGTCAGCCATAGCTGATGAGCCGCCGCAACTCCTGCTTGCTGTCCGTGTGCGGTAGGGTTTGGTCGTCCGGCCCTACTTAGCCATAGATGACAAAAAGAAAAATCCCATTTATAAGTTCTTTCGTAGTTTCGATCAAACTTTCTATAAGAATTTCGATGTGACTTATGTCTAGGTCGATGCATTTGAAGTTAAACTCATCCTAGGGCTATCTAGAAAATATAAGAGATCCAAAGTAAGCTTCAAGATGTATATATAACTTGAAGTGTACTTGCAGCTGAGAGCTATATATATATGTTATCGATCGTACAATGTTCCTGCCTGGCCCTCTTGGAAATCTCAAAGGACAATTTTCTATGAGAGTTAAGCCACGACAAAGAGCCGATGGCCGTGCAATGCACTAATGACCATCGTTAGGGGACGCATGACAATCTGGCGCTTCCAATTATTTTCGGAGCATATATTTTAGGGGTTGACCATTTATACCAAATCGATTTTGGTGCTGGCAATTGAGAAAGATAAGTTTTATTGGTGATCGACCTATGTGATTCCCAACTTCCCTGTCTTGATGATCAACTTGAGGAATTCTCTATGAGTTGTGGATGAGTATGTTTAGTTTTAGATAAGCATCTAACAGCTACCTTCCTCTAACTTGAATAATGATATGCTAAGAGGAAAGAATAAACTTGATATACCAAATGACCTTTTTGATGAATGTGGACGGCCTTTCTGTTCATTCACAGGGAGAAAATCAATCATTGCGCAAGAAAATGTATGAAAAGTTATGGTTTTGGTGCTAATCTCCAAATTATTAAGGGTGCAAACGGGTCGGGTGTACTTGGCTCTAGAGGGGATTTTTGGCTTGGCTCACAAAGAGAACAAGATGCTATTCCGATTTGCTAATCTTCCCCTCTAAGACAGCCGGGAGGCGGCGGGCATGGGAGGAGCAGAGCTCTACTTAATGAGCCATATCCCCCGTAACAAAGTGGTAGATTAGATGGGTCCTAAAATCCACTTTCTCGACATGGTTTGGGCCGCCTTTTTCAAACTCGCATCCTTTGTTTTTTCTACTCCCGATATTTTTGTCGAATAGTAAGTTCAATTGAAGAATTAAATATAGTTCTACTTTGAAATGAAAACGGTCGAACGTTTTGTCATATTTTTTTTGCTGCAAAAAGTACATAAATAAAATTATCATATATTTTGGGCAGGGTAAGAACTCGGCCCCTAATCACTAACATAAAACCTGCTCATAGGCCAAAGGGCCATGTCCGGCCCGGCCAATTCGGATTTTTGGGATTCCGGTTTTTTTATTTGCATCCCCACTCCTTATGTTGAAATGTGACTGGTTTGATTTAATTAATCGTATCATGCTGTATTATTCTATGAGTTAATTTTATATATCAATCTCTATGGCTCCATCATTAATCTATTTAAAATGGGGGTGAAACTTTTGGAATTACATGAAGAGTTCTTGGCCAACGGGTCAATAAGAGCGATGCATACGAAGCAAATGTTTGCTTGTGATGATAAACCAACTTGGACTTCACATTTCCGAAAACCTCGAAGTCTAAAATGTTTGGTCCACCATTCATTTTTTTTCAAATTTTTTTGAAAAGTAACGTGCATATCGAGTTATTTTCCGTTTATGAAAAGTAGCACCATTCGTTAAATCCACTCTCTGCTTTGCAGCCGACCTGCTTTTGACAACTCACAAGGCAATCGTTTTTATTTCTTTTTATGCTTTTTAGTCATTTCAAGGCATACGAAACTTAGGGACCATCATACGAATAGACTAGTGGTGGGAAGCAACCAAAGTTTCGCTCCCCCACCAACCTATATTGTCTAGAAAATATCTGTGGTTACCTAGATTTTTTAACATCATGGCCTTTAGGAAGGACTTGACCACGGTTCCATCAGTCATTGATATAATTTCCCCATCATGGCATTGCGGGTCAGCTAAAACTCTCTTCGACAAAAATGTTTTCAAAATTTTCAAGGAGTTTCTATTTTTTGGTGATTGGATAAATAAGAGTATATTTGATTTAACTTTTCCAACGAAAATTTGGGCCTATAAGGCCCTTACACCAAAGTTGAGGTGTTCGATACAAAGGTTTTTGAGCCTAAGTTAGCATTTACAAATGTCAGAAGCCCAATGCAACTCTGACCCAACATTTGCATTTCAAGAATGCTATTCAAGGGTTAATGCTTTTTTTTTTCTTCCGACTTTGCTCTCACTAATATTTACATTTTCTTGTTTTGGCCAATGTTCTTACGGTTGCGTGAGGCTCGCTGACAGTCGCTAAAATTTTATTTTTTTAAAAAAATTATATTTTAATTATTTATTTTATTTTATTTTTCTTTTTTCTTTTCCTTTTTCCTTTTCCTTTTCTTTTAAAAAAGAATATACTCCTTTAAGATCCATTAAGTTAATAAACAACTCATTAATGACCCGTTTAAGTTTATTTTTAAAACTAAACACAACCCACTTATAACCCACAATAATTAGATATTGATTAATATATGGGTTCTTGACCCATTTACGACCTCTATTCTCGACGTTGCCTCGCTTGGCCTCTTCGATATTTTAATCTTTGTCGGCTCCAATTGATTCCACTAGATTAGCTTCCACCATTTCACCATATTCGATGGTTCGCTCCTCTCCATTCTCTTAGAAAAAATTGCTTTACTAAAAAGCCTTTAGTCTAAAGCAAATAGTGCTTACCAAACCTATTTGCACCTCATGAAAACTCTTTAATTTAAAGTCATTTGTATTCATACAAAAGCATTAGGCAAGAATTCTCCCAGACGCACCCTAAAACCCGCTAATTCAACTTGGGGAAAACGCATTTTCCTTTCGATAAGAAAGAAACCATATTCGAGTAACCATCGCATACAATTTTTCATTATTAATAACAATTTATGTTTAAACATTTTCGTGAACGATGGAAAGCTTTTTTGTTTATTCGTTTTTGTAAGTGATAGAAGCGATCATTTTTAAGAAAATATTTTTTAAATCATTCATTTTCCACAAAACATACGCACCCTTATAGATATTTCCATTTTAGTGCGATAGGGTTCAGGTTATTTAAATGGATTGCCAATCATCTGAAAATACATTATAAATCCAAGGCATAAAATGAAAATCTCTGCTTAGCTGTTTGAAGTAGAGGTGATGGGTTCCTGCTCCGGTCCAATGGAACTTGTCAATTTTTACCAACTGGACCGAACATTGACGAAGATGCTCAAGTATACTGAGATCTCTTGCAGCTTTGCACAATCATATGATGCAACAATGCCCACGGATAATTCTAAAGCTTATGTTGTTTTTAACAAACATAAAAAATGCCTAGACTAAGTTGCAGCAGCAAACAGCCTTGCGAGCTAAAATAGATAGAAAATTGCTGAAGGTAATAAACAATTAAACACAACGGACATTCAAATGTTATATAAATAGGTTGGTCCGGTTCCAAACCTAGAATCGGGAACCGGACCACCCGAAGACCGGTTCCACTTTTAGAAAATGGGAACCGGACCCAACCATCCAGTTGGGTCCGGTCCGGGCGATTCCCGATTCGGATGGTCCGTTTTGCAGACCCCTACTTTGGAGTGTCTCTATAGTTTATAATTTTTCAACTACCGACAATCTCGCAACTTGACTTTTCTTTAAGGTGGAATGCCAGTGGCCTTTTTAACATATAAAAATATTGACATATCAAATCATACATAATTTACTATATAAGTTTTTGAAAATTTAAATATCTCTCTTCGATTTTTTAATTTTTAGTGAAAAAGTAGAAAATACGCAAAAATGTTTCTTTTAATATCTAAACCAATGGACCCTTTGCTCTTTTTTTTTTTTTGCTAGTTCTACTTGATGAATGGGGCCTATTTCCTTAAAAAAATTCTCAACTTTAGGTCCAATCTCAATTTTGTTTCGAATTTTTTTTGTCTAAAAAAAATCCCCATCTTCGTTTCTAGTCCCAAATTTTCCCACATGTCTAAAATTAGCCACTAGTTTCTTCAAGATTATTAACATAAGGAAATTTTTGTTGTTCAGTACAAAGATGGGGGTGTTAATGAAGACACATGTTCTAATAATAAACCTCTAACTACTCCTGATGTTGATAATTTTGAAGAAATTAGTCGTAATTTTTAAAAGCATGGGCAGATTTTGGATTAGAGTGAAAGTTGAGGATTTTCCTATAGAAAAAAAAAAGTTTAGAGCAAAATTGATATTGGACTTAAAAGTTGGGGTTTTTTTAGTCATTATCCCTGAAGAACGGAGACATCTGTTTCTAATAATTTCTTGGGTTAGTACCGTGAAATACGTTAAACTAGTACACCAATGACATATTTACCACAAATTAATTTTTTACCACAAAAAACTCCAAACCGGTACACCATTGACAAATTTACCAAAAACTAATTTTTTGACAACCAAAAACCCCAAACTAATACATTTGCGACAAATTTACCCCCCGTTAGTTTTTATTAAATTAGATTAATACCACGAAAAATCACAAACTAATACACTTATGACAAATGGAGGGTAAAACCCCAAACTGGTACACCTGTCAATTGTCACGTGTCATCTAACTTAGTAATTTGACGGTAAAATTTAACGGAAACTAACAGAGGATAAATTTATCACAAGTGTACCGATTTGGAGTTTTTGGTGGTCAAAAAATTAATTTAGGATATATTTATTACATATGTACCAGTTTGGAATTTTTCGTGATATTAATCATAATTTCTTTATTTACGCCAGTAGCATCCTCATTCCTCGTGATGACTCTCTCTCTCTCTCATGTTATACACTTATGACTTCATATCGAACAGCATCTTATTTCCATATCCATACTTACAGATTAAACTCCCCAGTCCTCAGAATTTCGAACATTTCTATTCATTCTTTGTCTCAACCAAATCAGGACTGTGTACAACGCATGTGCGAATGCGACGGCCACTAATTATATATATGACGTCTTCATCAAAATGAAATTCCCAGTTGAGAAGAACTAACGTCGATCTCAATAATTGAACTATATGTTCACGTGTTATGTCCCTGAAATCTAACCCAGGACAAAAGCTCGAGCATTTTAAAACTCTTCAGAATGGCATTCACAGAATCGTTCACGCACGAGACACCTCCCTAAAAAACAACATGAACTCCTCGCATTGCGAGACCGGACAAAAACGTCTTACACATCGAACCGACCGCCGAAGAAGTTCGTGGCTTGAGCGAGATTTCGTTAAAGGCACATCGGGGTCATCGCATCGATCACCATTCACTTTCACGAACTAAGGCGGCCGACATCGTTTTCGTTCAGTTATCTGCTCGCTCTTATTGGCTTCGTTGCATGATTTCGACTGAATTATTGTATTAGCAATACATCAGCCAGTGATGGCTTTGGAGAATACGTGCACAATCTGGAGTTTTAGAGGATAAGATCTGGTTTGTCCATTTGCTCTTCCAATCAAGATGCTACCCCACAACCCTCCAAGTTTAAGACTCCTATTTTTACATGATCTTCGTCACTTCACTCAATTCTCACATTCTTTTTGAGTTGTGTCTTCATGGGTTTCCCTTGTGGAAGCATCAGCCTGCCGAACTCCATCAGCCTCATAATACTGAAAAGCCTACTCCGCTATGCGAAGCACGTCGCGAGTGTGATACTCAAGAGACCGAGTTCCGAGGTAGTCTCGGCGGATCAAGAGTTTGACGTGTACAGCACCGGATTTCACGAGTTCTTGGCATCCTGGCCCTCCCCTTCGTTAGTTCCAGCAACAGCAAGTGTTCTGGCGGGAGCACAGAAGAGGCTTCCGGTGGTTGAGTTTGGGGATTTCATGAGGAGATGGAATCTGCGCGCAGACGAGGGTGCCTCCCTTTGCGCGATCTGCCTGCAGGAGATTGAGAGGAGGCACGAGATCAGAGAACCGACCAAGTGTCGTCACGCATTTCACAAAGAGTGCCTGGACGGGTGGGTGGACGAGGGGCATGTGACTTGCCCTCTGTGTAGGACTGCACTTTTCGAAGGCGAGGAAGAAAGATCGAGTGTCGGAGATCTGCGGACCACAGAGAGGACGAACGCATACTTCTTTCACGAGTATTATTAGTCCTAATGGATCTGGCACACGGCCATGAATGCTGGATGAATCTAGATCGCCTTTCGCCTGAGAGAAACATCTTGGGAATAGGCAAGTCCATGTTCAAATGAAAAACGCAGAATGAATAAAACTACAAAACAAGCTGTACATATACCAAAAAGCAAGTAAACAGAAGTGGCAAAAGGCATGTTTAGGCATGTACAAATACCAACTAGCGAGTAAAGACCCAGTAATTGAATCAAGGACATCAATCACCCTTCTTTCCACTTGACATCCATCGATTACTTATGATGCCAGGTGAGAAAGAGGGACTGTGAAAAGATTTTTATCCCTGGAGTTGTGGCAATCGCAAGTGGAAGCTGTTGAGTTTGAGAGAGGGATAGTACTATGTTCACTCATCTCTTTTGTTCTTGTTCTTTTTCTTCTTTTTCTGACAGCCCTCTTATGGTTTCGCAGGAGTCGTATGCAACAAGCTGATCATTCCACCTAGCAAGTTAAATTCTTATAAGAGATAAGAGATCAAGGAACAAACACCTAGCGCGCTATAGTAAGCCCATTCTTATCCCTAATTCTAAGAGACCAAGGAACAAACACCTAGCACGCACCCAACAAAAACCCAGGATCGAGCCTGAAAAAGAGTCGATTTTCATTTCCACTGGAAAGCAACGAATGCCCAACATTACAACCGAAACAATCCGCGGTCTATCCAGCAAAAAGTATACAACTTTGCGTTTTCTTTTCCTTTTCCTTTCTCGCTAACAACATAGAAAATACACGACGGAGCACAGCTCGAGCAACTGCACAGACCACCGCCCTATTGGAGGAACATAAAATTGATTATTGGTGTGATTGAGCATGTCGGTTGCTGGAAGCTACAACCGTTAAAGAAGAATCATAAAGACTTCAACGTGACTTCGTTTTTTTTCAACAGATTAAGCTGTTTTATTGTCTTTCTTAATTATTGTGGATTGTTATGTTTCCTTACCAAAAAAAAATAAAATTCCTATATAAAGGGATGAAGTCGTGAATTGTAAATCAAGCCAAACATGAAGCCACAAAGACAAAGTATTCTAAATAAAAAAGTTCTCCCTCCAATAATTATTTGTGCTCTTATTCCAAGTTTCCAAAGTTTATTATTATTCTTTTGGTTCCAACATTTGGTATCAGAGTTGAACGGGAGAAATTTCAATAACTGGTCCGTCCAGATGAAAGTTCTTTTCAAATTGCAAGATTTGTGGAACTTGGTGGAAAACGGCTACACCGAAGTGGCAAATGCTGAAGAATTCGATGCTTTGAGAAGGGAGGAGAAAGACTCTTTGGTGGAATCTCGGAAAAAAGATCAGAAAACATTGTTTGCGATCTTTCAATCCGTAGAGGAAATGATATTTGAAAAAATATCGAGCGCGGAAACCGCGAAAGCAGCGTGGGATATTTTGCAACAATCCCACAAAGGCGATGATCGTGTCAAACGTGTGCGGCTTCAAACACTTCGAGGAGATTTCGAGTCTTTACGTATGAATGACTCTGAATCAATCTCGGCGTACTTTGATCGTGTGCAGACCATTGTTAACCAATTGAGGGTTAATGGTGAAGAACTACAAGATGTGCGAGTTGTAGAAAAGATCTTGAGGTCTTTGACCGAAAGATTTAACTACGTTGTCGCGGCAATTGAAGAAGGGCAAGATGTGTCAACCATGACGTTGGAGCGGTTGATGGGTTCATTGTGCTCGCATGAGCAAAGAATGAATCAAAAGTCCGTCGATTCGACTCCCGAGCAAGCATTGCAGAGTCGGGTCGCTCAATCAAGCCGAGGAGGCTATCAAGGTGGCCGAGGTCATGGAGGTGGTCGAGGACGTGGACATGGAAATTTTAATTTCACCGGAAAATATAAAACACGTGACAAATCAAAAGTCAAGTGTTTTAAGTGTAACAAATTCGGACATTACAAATCCGAATGTAAAGCAAAGGTGGCATACGAGCAAGAAGAACAAGCACATGCCATTGATGCCGAGGAAAATGTGGTGCTAGCGTGCAAGAAGGATGACTCAAGCATCGTGGACACTAACATCTGGTACCTTGATACTGGGTGTAGTAATCATATGTCTGGCCGAAAGGAGTTATTCTCGCAATTGGACGAGACGGTTCGTGGTGAAGTTAATTTTGGGAATAAATCCAAAGTTCTCGTAATGGGCAAAGGTAACATTAATATCAAGTCAAAAGATGGCACTAATGTTACTATTGCGGATGTTTTCTTTGTACCGGGACTTTTTTGGAATTTGTTAAGTCTTGGACAACTTTCCAAAAGAGGCCATAAAGTCCATATTGAAAATGGAGTTTGCACCATCAAAGGTGTGAATGATAAGTTGATTACGATGGTGCAAATGACAAAGAACCGAATGTTCCCTTTGACTCTTCAGACGAAGAATCTTTTGAGTTTTCAAGCGATGATGAAAAATACAAACTGGTTGTGGCATTTTCGATTCGGTCATCTAAATTTTCGTGGACTAAAATTACTAGTCCAGAAAAAGATGGTGACCGGCATGCCTCTGATTGACAGTCCAGATCGACCATGCGAAGGATGTCTTGTTGAAAAATAACATCGAGAATTCTTTCCAGTTGGAAAAGCCAGAAGAGCAAAACAACCATTGGAGTTGGTACATATAGACATCTGTGGCCTTGTTGAGGTGTAAACAGTCAGATAAAAAAGGTACACATTAATTTTTGTGGATGATTTTACCAGAAAAACATAGGTATATTTTCTGAGAGAAAAATCTGAACCTTTTGGCAAATTTAAAGAATTTAAAGTCTATGTTGAAAAGCATAGTGACTTTATTTTAAAGACGTTGAGATCAGATAGAGGGGGAGAATTCACTTCGAATGAATTTGACAAATACTTGTAAATTTCATGGAGTGAAACGCACGTCTGACGTCGCCTATACTCCTCAACAAAATGATATAGCGAAAAGAAAGAACAGGACAATTTTTGAAATGGCAAGAACTATGCTAAAGGCTAAAAATTTACCCAAGAAGTTTTGGGCAGAAATCGTTGCGTGTGCTGTATTTGTGCTAAACAGGTGTCCAACAAGGAGTGTTCTTGGAAGAACCCCAGAAGAGGCTTGGAGTGGCAACAAGCCAGATGTTTCATTCCTACGAGTATTTGGGTGCGTGGCATATCCCCATATACCAGATGAACGAAGGAAAAGGTTGGATGAGAAAATCCAGAAGTGCATCTTCATCGGCTACAGTGACATGACTAAGGGTTATAAGCTGTATAATCCAGTCATTGATAAGGTAGTCATCAGCAGGGATGTCCAGTTTTTTGAAGATGAAGCCTGAGACTGGAATCAGAAGATTGACCAGAAAAACATCACCATCGAAGACGAACCATTGTTGGGAGAGATAGAAAAATCTTCAGCTGAAGATCCATCATCTTTGCCTGGTAGTTCATTTTCTTCACCAAGAGCAGTTTCAGAACTCCCGATACGTCGTTCACAGCGATTGCGGGAGACGCCATCAAGATTCAAGAATTACGTTGTCACAAGAGATGATGATAGTGATAGTGATGGAATCACTGATGAAACTATGATAAATTTTTGTTTATTTGCAGAATGGGACCCCATGTCCTATGATGATGCAGCAGTAGATGAGAAGTGGATCCTAGCAATGGATGAAGAAATCTACTTCATTGAAAAGAATGACACATGGGAGTTAACTTCTTTACCACCTGGTAAGAAGCCCATTAGTGTCAAGTGGCTGTATAAGACGAAGTACAAGCCTCACGGTCAAGTGGACCGACATAAAGCCAGGTTGGTTGTAAAAGGCAACAAGCAAAAGCCAGGTATTGATTATTTTGAAGTATTTGCACCATTAGCTCGAATGGATACCATTCGGATGATCTTAGCACTCGCAGCTCAGAATCGTTGGAAGATCGATCAAATGGATGTGAAATCAGCATTTCTCAATGGTGTTCTTGAAGAGGAAGTCTATGTGGAGCAATCGCAGAGTTATGAGAAGAAAGGGCATGAAAATCAAGTTTACAAACTAAAAAGGCATTATATGGGCTAAAACAGGGCACTTCGAGCGTGGTACACGAGGATTGACACTTACCTATTAGAGCATGATTTTCAAAAGTGTCCGTATGAGCATACACTGTATATCAAGTCAAATACTAACGGTGACATAATAATTGTGTGCCTTTATATTGATGACTTGATATTTACAGGGAGCATCGTCCAAAGATGTTTGCTGAATTCAGGGAGGCTATGACTAGCCATTTCGAGATGACAGATTTAGGATTGATGTCTTATTTTTTAGGCCTTGAAGTGAAGCAAACAAATGATAGCATATTTATTTCACAGCAGAAATATGCTAATGATATTTTGAAGCGATTGAAGATGGAATCACTCAAACCAATACGAACTCCCGTAGCAGAACGATTGGAGCTAAAGAAAGAAGGAGCCGGTGAACTAGTAAATCCCACTTATTTTAAAAGCATTGTTGGCAGTTTAAGATATTTGGCTTTTATTAAGCCAGATATTACTTATGGCGTGGGAATTATTAGTCGGTTTATGGAGAAACCATACCAATCACATTTGCAGGCAGCAAAAAGAATTTTACGGTATGTCAGTGGAACTCGTAATCATGGAATTTTATATATTCTTATACAGATAATTTCAATTTGGTGGGGTACACAGATAGTGATTGGGCAGGTGATATTGAGACTTGAAAGAGTACTTTTGGAAATGCTTTCTTTCTTGGATCAAGAGTAATTTCTTGGTCCTCGAAAAAATGACAAGTCGTTGCACTTTCAACAGCTGAAGCAGAATACATAGCGTTATCTTCAGAGGCATGTCAAGCAATATGACTTCACAGGAGGTTGTGTGAATTAATGCATGAACAGACAGAATCTACCAAAATATTGTGTGATAATAAATCGACTATGGCTTTAGCCAAGGATCTAGTTTTTCATAGTAGGAGCAAACACATCGACATCAAGTATCACTATATTCGTGATAGAGTCAAAGATGGCGAGATCGAACTTAATTTCTGTAGATCAGAACATCATATTGCAGATATTTTGACGAAACCATTAAAGACAGGGACGTTCAAAAAATTAAAGATGATGCTCAGTGTTGTTGAATTCCAAAATCAATTTTAAGGGAGGCTATTGGAGGAACATAAAATTGATTATTGGTATAATTGAGCACGTCGGTTGCTGAAAGCTACAAGGGTTAAAAAAGAATCATAAAGACTTTAACGTAATTTCATTTTTCTTCAATAGATTAAGCTATTTTATTGTCTTTCTTAATAATTGTGAATTGTTATGTTTTCTTTATTAAATATAATCATTGGAGTTTGTGAATTTCAATTCCTATATAAAGGGATGAAATCATGAATTATAAATCATGTCAAACACGAAGTCACAAAGACAAAGCAATCTAAATAGAAAAGTTCTCCCTCCAATAATTGTATAATTGTTTGTGCTCTTATTCCAAGTTTCCAAAATTTATTATTATTCTGTTGGTTCCAACACGCCCCCACCTTCACCCGCCGAACCCGTACAGCGTGCGCCCCTGCCTCTTGAGCGCGTACACCACGTCCATGGCGGTCACCGTCTTCCGCCGGGCGTGCTCGGTGTAGGTCACGGCATCACGGATGACGTTCTCGAGGAAGATCTTGAGGACGCCGCGGGTCTCCTCGTAGATCAGCCCGCTGATGCGCTTCACGCCGCCCCGGCGGGCGAGCCGCCGGATGGCGGGCTTGGTGATGCCCTGGATGTTGTCCCGGAACACCTTCCTGCCGTGCCTCTTAGCGCCTCCCTTCCCCAGCCCCTTGCCCCCCTTTCCTCTGCCCGACATTTTTTCCTACAGACCGAATGAAGTTGGCACACAAGAGAGCTCGTACGAAGAAGATGGAGCAAGCAGAGGTGCAAAGATCGGAGCTTTCTGAGATTGTTCTTCTGGGATGATGACCAAGCTTCGGCTGGGTCTGTTTTTATAGGTGGGGGAAGGGTTCGGAAATTTTGAGGTTTTTTGGGTTTTCGCGCGCCACGAGCGTTTGCGCTGGCTTTTTTTTAAGCGGTCATTGGGCGGCCAGTTCTGGTCCGTCGGATCGGAAGCACATCGACGGTTGGGAGGGCGCGATCCGTGTGCGCTGGTCGGGCTTAATCTGGACCGTTTGAATGGCGGGGATCGTGCGACTGCGATGGAGGCGGACGCTGCACCCGGATCGATGACGTGGGAGCATCCGCGAGCACTGTCTTGTCTTGGACGGTTGGGACTCGGGGCTAATTTCACTTGCCAGTGTTCATGCTGCTCGGACTCTTTTTTTTATTCATATAATTTGGAAACTGAAAATTAAAAAACTTTCAATAATATTTTAAGAGTTCTTATCATATAATCAAACTCAAACCATGATAGAAATTCGAAATAAAGTCGCGCAATTAGGGCTTTGTTTAATTCGTGGAAATGAATGATTTGAAAAATATATATATTTTTTTAAAATGACCATTTGTATCATTTATGAAAATGAATGAACGAAAATAATTTTCATCGTTCACGAAAATGTTTAGATATAATTTGTTATCGATAATGAAATTTTTTTCCATTAACTAATTATTTCGAGCGATATGAGCCATCGATTTCGAAAAAATATTTTCCAAATCATACATTTTCCGCGAAACAAACGGAGACTTGGTCCTAAATTTGACACGATTTTACGTTACTTCGGCTCCGTTTGTTTCGTGGAAAATATTTTCATCATTTTCCGAAATTTGGTTTGCTTAGGAAAATTAGTCAACAAAAAGTGATTTCCCTTTCAAAAATCAGAAATTACTAATTATTTAATGCTAGGCCAGAAATTGCTGACATAGACGTCGGACGTCTTACGTGACACGGCCCTTGCTGGCCCTCTCTTGTGGCTGGTTGCCAACTGTCACCGAGCCCCGGCAACCGGTGGAGGACGAAGGAAAAAGAAAGGAAAAGAAAAAATAAAATAAAAATTATTAAAAAGTTTTGCTTTTTTTAAATTATAAAAATTGTCCACGTCTAGGCGGTTGTGTCACGTAGGACGGCTAACGTTCACATCAACAATTTCCAAACAAATGAGCTATTCCTTTCTAAATGACGGATAATATTTTCCAAATCATTTTCAAGTCTCAAGTCAAACGCCGAAAAATATTATCATTTTTCTGAAAACTGATTTCTCATATAACATATGATACAGAAGGATAGGACTAGCACGCTCGAATTGAACCTCAACATTGGTTGCTCCACTTCCATTGCAATCCTAGCAACGGAAACCTACACCAAAGCTGTATACACGGATTTGCACCATAACTGCATACATGGATAACATTGGTTATTGTTCTCGTCACTGATATGGTCCGATGTGTAAGAAATTTAATTCCAAAAATTTAAATTTGTAAATGGAGGGAGACTATATGAATTAAAAAGTATTTAGGATCCAGTATCTAGTACTTCAACCTCTTGCTCAAGGGACTAAGACAATGGTAGTGACTGCTTGGCTTGTCCCTTGAAGTGGACTTGGAAGGGAGGTTCAACCTTTTGCTCGAGGGCTGAGGCAATGGTAGGGACTGTTTGGCTTGTCCCTCGAGGTGGAGTTGGAAGTGGAGTTGGAAGGGAGGAGGAGGCAATGGTTGAGTTGATGATCAGCCTCTTGCTCGAGAGTGCTGCTGCCATGGATGGATGGATGGATGGATGGAGAGAGGAGTTAACACGAGAGGCTAAATGTTAGAGGGAAAGGGAGAGGCGTGTGAGGGCACACACTCCCCGAGAGAAGCATTATATAGAGAAACATAACTTTGTATGTTGGAGGAATCTATTGTTTTCGCACCCGAGGATGTTTATTTCATTGAGAAGAACGAGAAAATCTTAGGTAGTGATTAATGGACAATCGTGTACAATTTCTCACATGCAAGTCGCGTGCAAGCACCTCCCACATGCAAATCGCATGCAAGCGAATTACGAATAATACGTGAAATTTGACTAAAATTAATGGGATCACGCGCAAGTCGCGTGCAAGTTACGTGCAAATCACGTGCAAGCACCTCCCACGTGCAAGTCACGTTCAAGCGGATTACGAGCAGCACGTGGATTTGACTAAGACTATTAAGAGTGGATGCACATTCATGAAAGGGATAGCACTAGCTTCGTATCATGTAAAAAAGTCCAATTTAAAAGTTTAAACATGTAGATGGAGAGAAACCACATGAATATAAAAGATCTTTTAGGAACTTAGCGGTGGGCAAGATTGTCCTTTTTTTTCTCAATGTTAAACACTCAGCATTTGTTCATTGCATCCACTGTAGTGCGAGAAGCAGGCAGGACCGGACTAAAGGCAGACTCTCTACATGACCGGCTAGACCCGTGCAATTCCATTCCTAGTAGATTACCAAGTCGGCTCAGAAATAGTTTTATACATCGGAAGAGCTAGGTAAGCTTTAGTGAAGAATGTACTACAACAAATTGGCGTAACTCTATGAAGATGTCCCAAGGCAAAGCTGAGCATTCCAAGGACCGTAATTGAAAATAGGCTGTTCCGTGAGTGGCGATTCAAATCACCCTCATTGATGAAGGTAGCAGCCTGACATAACCGTATTTGGCGTGGACATCTGAATCAGGAGGTGCACCGAGCCAAGCCTGCTGCCAAGCCACTATTAACGGCCGCTTCCACAAAGTTGCCAGTTGCGGTGGAAGCTATTTGAGTGCCGTGGCCATCTCTCGAAGAGAGAAAATCAATGACGGTGTCAGTGGCTCTGTGATGGGAGAGCTCATCTGTTTGGCCAATCCCCTTAAGAACCAGCGGCCCAATGATCTTTTTGCTGCAATTGGAGGAATTGAATTGCTCTCCCCGTTCGCAAATGCCCCTCCAGCGGTTCAATCTCGTCACTGAAGCTTCTGGATTCCGGCCATATTCCTAGAAGATTCGACATTTGGAAAGATTTAGTAAGGTGTGCATAGAGTTGAAACCAAAACTTTGTTCAATACTTTTTGAGACAACCCCATCTTTCTTTTAGTTAGGTGGAGTTGGAAGTGGAGTTCGAAGGGAGGAGGAGGCAATGGTTGAGTTGATGATTCAGCCTCTTGCTCGAGAGTGCTGCTGCCATGGATGGATGGATGGAGAGAGGATTTAACACGAGAGGCTAAATGTTAGAGAGGAAGACGAGAGGCATGTAAGGGCACACACTCCCCGAGAGAAGCATTATATAGAGAAACATGACTTTGTATGTTGGAGGAATCTATTGTTTTCGCACCCGAGGATGTTTATTTCATTGAGAAGAACGAGAAAATCTTAGGTAGTGATTAATGGACAATCGTGTACAATTTCTCACATGCAAGTCGCGTGCAAGCACCTCCCACATGCAAATCGCATGCAAGCGGATTACGAGCAACACGTGAAATTTAACTAAAATTAATGGGATCACGTGCAAGTGACGTGCAAGTCATGTGCAAGTCACGTGCAAGCACCTCCCACGTGCAAGTCACGTTCAAGCGGATTACAAGTAGCACGTGGATTTGACCAAGACTATTAAGAGTGGATGCACATTCATGAAAGGGATAGCACTAGCTTCGTATCATGTAAAAAAGTCCAATTTAAAAGTTTAAACATGTAGATGGAAAGAAACCACATGAATATAAAAGAGTTTTTAGGAACTTAGCGGCGATCAAAATTGTCCTTTTCTTCTCAATGTTAAACACTCAGCATTTGTTCATTGCATCCACTGCAGTGCGAGAAGCAGGCAGGACCAGACTAAAGGCAGACTCTCTACATGACCGGCTAGACCCATGCAATTCCATTCCTAGTAGATTACCAAGTCGGCTCAGAAATAGTTTTATACATCGGAAGAGCTAGGTAAGCTTTAGTGAAGAATGTACTACAGACAAATTGGCATAACTCCATGAAGATGTCCCAAGGCAAAGCTGAGCATTCCAAGGACCGTAATTGAAAATAGGCCGTACCGTGAGCGGTGATTCAAATCACCCTCATTGATGAAGGTAGTAGCCTGACATAACCGTATTTGGCGTGGACATCTGAATCAGGAGGTGCACCGAGCCAAGCCTGCTGCCAAGCCACTATCGACGGCCGCTTCCACAAAGTTGCCAATTGCAGTGGAAGCTGTTTGAGTGCCGTGGCCATCTCTCGAAGAGAGAAAATCAATATGTCAGTGGCTCTGTGGTGGGAGAGCTCATCTGTTTGGCCAATCCTTTAAGAACCAGCGGCCCAATGATCTTTTTGTTGCAATTGGAGGAATTGAATTGCTCTCCCCGTTCGCAAATGCCCCTCCATCGGTTTGATCTCGTCACTGAAGCTTCTTGATTCCGGCCAGATTCCTAGACGATTCGACATTTGGAAAGATTTAGTAAGGTGTGCATAGAGTTGAAACCAAAAACTGGTTCAATACTTTTTGAGACAACCCCATCTTTCTTTTAGTTCTTCTAAGCAGTTGGCGTTTCCTACTGAGGCTTAAAAATAGTCAAAATCTAACAAACTGCAATTTTAGTTACGTGCAAGCGGCATGCAAATTACGTCCAAATCACGTGCACATCAACATGCACTCACCTGTGTCTATCAGTCCAATGATGATTCCTTCTCCCCAGCTACTTTGTGTCAAAAGGTTGCTCATTTTGTTCTGATGGAGCTTCGAGTAATGTAGATCTTGTGGAGGCGATTAGGGATAAGAACTCCCGGAAAATCTGCCATGTTGAAAGAAAGAAAAGGATCGAATTTCTTTATTTTGTGAAGATTATTAGCATTCCATTAGAATTTCATTGAGATTGCTTACCGGTGATCTCCTCTGCCTGCGATCTCGTTAGCCTTGCAGTGAATCCCGAAAAACCATGCTTGTAGCAATAAAGAATCGAGTTCCTAGTGGCTTCCGCGCTTTAAAGCATACAAAAGAAAGTGTCAGTTAGTGTCTATAAAAGTGCAAATTGTGGACAAGGTTGCTTTT